GCGGCCGCTCGCAAGGGACGGAAGTCGGCAGCGGCCGGAGGACACAGTGGGATCGCGGACAAGGTAAGTCCTACGCTGCATTCCCGAGTGTGGCTCGGGGTTACCGCTTTGTTAACCCCGAGCCACACTCGGGAATACCAATGGATATGAGCTGAAAAACACCCCAAAGAAGCTCCTGTACTTGTTTGGGGCGTAGGGCGTTTTTCAGCGCGTTTCCACAGGCTTAAATACGCCCAGGTGGGAACCATGCCCATAGGGATTCATGAGATTTCACTTGCTGAGCATTATTCAGCGCTTCGATCAGCGCTGAAATACGCCCAGGTGTGAACCCAGCCTAAGTGCATGACCACTTGCAAATGCAAGTAATTGGGAATCTGCAACATTCCAAGTAAGTAGCCTATTTTTTTATTCACTTAAAAGATGTGTGATCCACTGAGACAAATATCCACAGGCAGAGAGTTGTTCCAGTTAACTGAGATTTAAATAAGTCCAACTGTCCAACTGTTTATTAATGAAGTCTTTAAAAGTAAAGGTCCCATCAACTAGTGTGATGAAATGACCATTAAGGTGAAAAACTGGACAGTCTACAAAGGTCTGGGACAATTTGTCAAGAAATTCCTTATCAAAAGGAAAAAGTCTCTGTACTTTATCCAGAGGAAGCCATGATTGTAAAGCAAGTTCCCAGTCCTTAAAAGAAAATTCAGCACACAATGGTTAGGATTGTAACACAGTTCCCCTATTGCAGCCTTCTGGTCTTACCTACAGGTTGTGCCACTGCTCTAAAACTAGGTAATAGTAGTAGAATCAGCTGAGAACTGGCCCTGATATCCTGTTTTAGGGTGGCTCCTATGGAGTTACCCTTGTGTGTGCTAGTAAGATGTCTCCACAAACACACAGGCACAACAAGGCAAGCCATTCCCCTGTTCCCTGCTCCCTACTCCTCCAAGCTAGTAGATGGATAGATGCTGCAGATTGTGCTGTTCCTTTTGATCTTGTACTGGCAGGATGTTCAGGGAAGCTGAGTTGAGAGAGTTGGAGCCTGCTGTTTGGAAACATAAAAAGTGTAAGTGCTTGGGTAAAGATTTAAAGAAATACTTTGCTGGGAGGGGTATATTTGTTTGATCTGGATTCATTATTGGAAAACTTTGAAAGTTTAATACTACTTTAATCACAAGGAAGAAGTTATAAAGTGACTGGGTGAAACCAAGGTTGTTCCACAGCTCACAGGAATTAGAGTGTAGTTTGCAGCTAACTGTCACTGTGCCGGAATATAGATCCCAGTGCCAAGGACACATAGTTGGATAATGTTACATAATTCAGAGATTTCTCAGAAAACAATAGAACATTAACAATTATATACCATATACCAGTATTTTATTACCCCATCTGTAGGCTTCCATACATGTTTCCAAGACATGATAGACTGGATTACACCGGAGACTAAACAGAACGGGAAGCACCATACTGCAGAGCTTAGTGCCCCAAAGCCACATAATAAACATTTTTTTTTATAGATACAGTATATACTTACATAGGAAGCAAGCAGAGATTGAGTTACACCAAAGACTGTACCACTGCTCTGAATCTGGAGACTGCTCTGCAGCTAACTGACAAAAAACACAATCTAGAAGGTGCCATAATGCAGAGTTAAGAGCTAAACTGCCACATACTAGGTTATCTTTGCCACTCTTATAGGACCTACCTAAACAGGGAACCATCAGAGACTGGGTTACACCAGAGGCACAGGAGAGTGCTCTGTGCAGGGCCGTCCTTAGGGGTGTGCGAGCCGTGCGGCCGCACAGGGCGCCATGGCAACAAGGGCGGCGTGCGGCCGACACAGCTCGTCCTGGGGGCGGCTTCTCTCCCCCTCACCGCTGGGCGCTGGCCATCCGATAATAATAAGCTCAGTACACTAAAAACAGAATGTACCACTGGCAGACAGAAGTGCCTGAAGGTCACATTCCAGGCAGTCCCCACAATCTTCCATCCAGTGGGGTCCAGGTATGGCCTTTAAGGCAGTGCCGAGGATTAGCTGAGCCATGTCGAGACTTGTTCAAGCAGCTTATTAAAACTCTTGAAGAAAGAGAAAAAAACAGCCACAAAGTACCACAAATGTTGATAGAGGAAAAAAACAAGACAGGATAGAACTTTCCTTAGCAGAGTTGAGAAAAAAAGCATCCAACCTCCTTTAAAACTAGGAAAAAACTAAGGCATGATGGTTGGAAGCTGGGTTATACAGGGGCTTGCTAATCGTTCTTATGATTCCCAGTGTCCAAAACTGCTGAAGGCACCAGTATAACTCAATCATATCATAATATTTACAGATGCTGTGTCCCTTAACAAAGGACATTTTGAAAGAATACCTTACCCAACAACAGGTTTTGCTGTAGATCTCCCTTAACAGGTTTCCTTATCCTATTGCATTCTGCCCTTACCTCAAACTAAGTGGACTCTTGGTATAACTGCAAGTCTTGTTTATCAGTAATATTATGTGGTCTTTGTAATTCTTACTTTTTTATGATTGACTGCTCATAGTAAGGTAAAACAGCTAAGCTACAAAAATAGTTGTCAAGCTACATATTGCACCTCCTGTAATAAACCTGCTTATGGATGCACTTCAAGAGCCCTGTAATTCCATTTTAAACGAATTCATTTACACACAGACTTAGCAACTTTAGCCACACAAGGCAAATGACAATTTATTCAGCAGCAACAAAATAAAAAGTAAAATAGATATTCCAATTGTTTAGATAGATGTACATTGTACTAAAATTGCACTAACTGCTAGAGTAATGTTTCCAACATTGATTGTAACTGTTTTTCTATGCAACAATGAAGATATAAATGCATGTATTTATTTAGTCACCAGCATGCCATGTCTGACTATGACTAAGTCCATGGAAGCAAACATAATAAAAAGGTTGAGATGTTAAAGTGCTAATTCCCAAAAAAGTTAATTTCCAGTTTAAATTAAAAAAAAATCAAGATTGACCAATATGTAGTAATACATTGTTGTTGGTATGAGGAATCTCTCCACAAATGTGCAGCCAGATGACATATGGGGTACAAACAATCAGCAACTATAACCGCAGAAAATGGCGACTGATGAGATCCATTAGGTAGGAAATCTTCATCTGGTTCTTTATTGCAAGCACAGACATAAACCAGAGGCACAGTTCATTGCTTCATGTAGCTTGTCTGCCATGTACTGAACAGCATACGTGCATGTAGGATTAGGAGAAAAGATCTTCCAAGTGTTTGATCATTCCAAAATCAAAGTTTAGAAACCCTCGCATTGGCCAGCTCAGGATACACAATTATATTGTTGATAAGATTAATAATACATAACAAAGTATTCCATGTAACAAAATTAGTAACAGCATTCATTATTGTAATGATACATAAATATTGTATAAATAACATAGGGCAATGCTTCAGGAGTAATGCCACTTTTTGAATACTTTTTTGGCTCGGCTGATATCCTTAGCCAGGGCATTAAAATGATCTACTTATAGTTATTACCTACAATTGCTTTATTATGTTTATACAAGGCATTGGAGTGTCTGATATGACCAGTTGATAATATTTACATGTTTCCTTTAAGTACATGGATCAATCACCAACAGTTAAAGTCAAAATTTAAAAGCTAACAATGTATTGAGAAGAATGTACCTGATTCCTTTGTGCATTCCGCAAAAACATAATCAAGAGATTTACAGGGTTATCTTCTGTCAAACTTATTGTTTGCTTCCACATTCATAACTATTTATTGCATTGAGGACTTGACACATCTCATTATCCTCATTGGAACTGGTCCCCTCACTGCTCCCCGTGTAGTTCTCACCACTTTGGCCCTGACAAAGCCCACAAGGTCCAGGCATGCAGAGTCTTGTGGGTAGGATTATAACAATGCCGATATGTTAGGTCCGTCTGCCCTGTTACCTGTTCTGCCTTCGACACTACTCTTACGGCAATTCTTCCAGGAAGTATGAGAATCATGGGACAGTGCCATACAACAGGAGGACACTTTGTGCCGCAGCTGCAAGGACCCTTCTCCAGATATACCAATATAGCTCAAGAATGACATCACAGGTAGAAATGTACTCTATTTTTAAACTGAGCACAATGATAAATTGGTAGGAGAAGAATTTGTGGACGCACAGATGCATAAGATCAGAAAACCGTGATCCCAAAGTTGGGTTTCAACAGTTAACTATGGATTGTTAACATAGATATAGCATTATATCCTTCTTACAGTTTCCACCTAGTAACAAGCAAAATTTCAAGATTCTCAACTGGCCCCAGTAGAAACTGCAATACCTCGTATAAAGGTGATAAAAAAAAGTATATTACAACATTTTTTTATTTTGCTGCCCTGGGTCAGAATATCAAAGTCAAAAAAGTGTATCAACTGCAATAAGCCTTTAAAATAAAATCCCATTATTAGCTATGGTATATATATGTTACATACCCCTAGCAGGCTCAGGCAAAGCTAAAATCATAAAACTTTGTTTTTATTGACTGAATGATGCCTTCTTTAAATGTTGCTTAGATAAACATATTTTGAATGAAAATAATGTTAAGAATGTTTTGCTATTGCTGACAATGTAGATTGTTCATATGAACTAAACATTAGCCTAATATGGTCATTTATATTTGCAAATATGCAAATAGGGTTTGTGTTGTTTGCACACATTAACCCCAATAATGAGCATGCAGCTTTATTATCGTACCAATATGTTTTATGCATCTAACTCCAAAATCACTGATAATCATTGTATTTTAAAAATATAAAACTTGCTGGTAGGTGGCAGTGTTGGTTTTTGTATCAACTGATCACTTCAATCAGGTACTTTATCAGGTACTTTACTTTTTCAACTGGACTTGCTGTATTGTTCAAGAAAAAGCCCAATTGCCTTGATATCTTTTTTTACAGAGATGCAAGGTTGTACCAGTTGCAGAATGTAAATGACTGTTAAGGGAGGACGGTTACCTTTTTCCAGAGTATTTGAGAAATGTGCAACTGGATTAGATGCCTTTTTGGCTATTTCATACATCTCACAGATCTTGTTTTCAACATGAAACTGTACATCTACATTAAAACTGACAATATATAAATTAAATAGATATATATAAAATACAGTAAAGAGGAGATATTATAGGTTGAACAAGGCATCAAACAAGCAACAAAGACACAAATGGATATCATGTCCATGCCTTCTGTCCACCTTGGCTAACGCCAAGGAAGTTTAAATGGAGGAGGAGCGACTGTCCTATCCGTAAGGAGTGAATTTCAGCCGTTCTTGATAGTCCAAAACAGCTACGTTCAATGAATGTAGAAATAGGACAGCCAAGGCTTCTCACACATGGAGAAATAAAATTTCAAGTCTTAGGAGTAAAGGAAAAATCTAGATTTGATCAACAAAATGCACGCTGCCACGGTTAGAAGTCCTTCTCAAGTGAGTTCTCTGGGCATCCCCGTTCCTGACAGGTGGTCTTCCTGGAAACTCGTGCAGTTGGACTTCTCCATTCTGAGACAAGAAGGTAACTCCATTTCTTTCTTTGAAAACATTATCTTTAAAGATAAAAGGTATAGAATGCTTGTAAGACCCAACGTTAAGCTTCATAAAATTTTTATACATCTTTCACACATTTTTCCAATCAAATCCAGTTAGAAAAATGTATGAATATTGGGTGGACGTGTGAAAAAAATTGTATAATTAAACCAATTTTTGTCTTATAAAACCTGAATACTAAGGCAAAAAAAGGAGCATTTTGAGTGGCACATAAAATAGTCCATAAAAAGCCTTTATTGAGAAAAGGGGACTGTTAGCTCAGTAGACCAGTGAGGTTGCTTTGCCTGTATTCTGTTCCTCTCTTTTTGCAGAAAAAGATTGCCATTGCCTTACATTGCCTATTTCTTAGGCCTAGTTATCTTTTATTTATGCAATAAAGAAAATTGATTTATTTTCCTATAACTTTTTAAATATAGGTCCGCTTTAGGAGCATATTGCATGAGGAACTTCTCATATAACTGCAATTCCAGGTGGCACCTTTCAATAGAACACACACACATGCAACCAGAATAAGTAATGGAGGGGGTTTGGAACATTTTCACTGCACTGTATTTTATGCCCACTGTTGGCTGGTCTCCCCATTGCTATCAATATATAACAGTATTTCCTATTCATAAACTTAAGGCAAAATACATTCTACTTCTGCTATCAGCACCACAAAAAGAACAGTGTGACTTACCATTGCCATTGGGGTGCATTGAGTGCTCATTGGATACTAGCAAAGTTGTTGAATTTGTGTTACTTGTTGACTGAATGGAGTTGCTGGAACTACTGGATACACCTTGTTTGGAAGTTTGATTCTTTAGTTTGTTTGTTGCTGTTTTGCTCCAGTCTATATGCAGTACATAAAAAGTGTATGTTACAAAATAAAAATAGGAACCAAGAAAACTGTTTAAAATTATACAATAAAACAATCAGGGGAATATTTATATTTTTTTAACACAAGAGTCTTCTACCTTTTACCCAAGAAAAACACATTTTTCTAATTCGATTTATGAAAGAAAATATATGACTCATGGGTGAAAGTTGTATAAATCCTGTGTGAACACATTTATAAATAGACCCCTAAGTGTTAGTGCTATATATAACTAAAACCTGCTATAATGGGAACAACCCTATCCCTCAGCATAGAGAAGAGGCTGCACTAAAAACGTAGGGGTCTATTCACAAAGCTGCCGAAGGATTCAGCCGTAGCTTTGGCTGATCCTTCGGCTAGCTTCGGTTACGGGAGGCCTTCGGTTCAGTAGAATAGTAAATAGCCCGTACAGCTCCCGAAGTCGGCCGAGCGGCTCAGCCGAGCCGAAGGCATTTGCTTCAGGCTCGACTGAGCCGAGGTGAAATCCGAAGCGGGCCGAACGGCCTGGCCATGGGCCGGCGGAAAGCCTGCTACTGACAGCTGGGCGGAGCCAGCCGTGATCTCACGGCTGAGCTCTGCCGAGCTCTCATTGTAATGACAGCTGGTCCCGGCCAATAGAAAACAGTTGGGCGGAGTTTGCTGTTACTGCTAGCTCTGCCCAATCGTTTTCTTTTTTTTTCTTCTACTTTTTAAAACTGTTTTTCTATTCTGCTCGGTACCACAGAGGTACGGAACAGAGTAGCTGAGCCGAATGCCACTCATCGGCATTCGGCTATTCATTCACTGCTGTTCGGCCCCTATTGAGAATAGGCCGAACAGCAGCGAGTAGCCGGCTCAGCAGATCCAGATGTTGAACTCCTTCTGCACTTCGGGTCGCCCAAACATGCTGAGCATGTTCAGCTGACCCGAACCCAGCCAAGGCAAGCCGATGTAAGGCTGATTTCAGCAGATCTACGGCTGCAATCAGCTGTACAAGCCTGAAGTGAATAGCCGAACAGCGTTCGGCTCACTTCACTTTGGGTTGGTTATTCACCCAGCTGCCTACAGCAGCTTTGTGAATAACCCCCTTAGTTCTCTTTTGTACATCTTTCTCAATTTCCTGAGGATAAGAATGTTCTTGCCTTAGAACACACTGGGCCTGAAACTCAACTGCCATTGCTACTGGGGTCATTTAGCCTGAAGATTACTTCAAATCCCCCAAAACATTATGGGGTCTATTCACAAAGCTGCCGTAGGCAGCCGAGTGAATAACCGACCCGAAGTGACATGAGCCGAACACTTCGGCTATTCACTTCAGGCTTGTACGGCTGATTTCAGCTTTACACCCACTAAAATCAGCTGTACATCGGCTTGCTGCAGCTGGCTTCGGGTTGGCAAAACATGCCCAGCATTTTCAGCCGACCCGAAGTGCAGAAGGCGTTCGACTCAGCCGATCCAACATGTGCAAGTGGCCAGCTTCGGCTTTCACCTCGGCTCAGTCGAACCGAAGCATATGCCTTCGGCTTGACTGAGCCGCTCGGCCAACTTCGGGAGCTGTACGGGCTATAGTGACCCAAGCAGCCCTTCGGTTCTACTGAACCAAAGGTGTCCTGGGGTCGAAGCTACGGCTTGATCCTTCGGCAGCTTTATGAATAGACCCCTATATATTTTCTGAAAGCAGAGACCCTGTAAAATGATGGTAGTTCTAATTTTATAGAGCAGCAGGGGTTTGACAGCTATGAACCAGGAAGAGCTCAGAGCTGAGCTCTTCTGGGTTTATACTAAATCAACAGGCATATTGAAATCAACAGACATATTGACCTCCAGCTGTCCTCCATCCTGACACTTGCCATGGAGGTCCTGGAGACCCAGGAGGGATAGCTAAGCCCGGGGCACATGGCAGAAGGTGGAGTCAGGTGGAGGGTGTCACCTTCACAGGACTGTGGAAAAGATTGGGTGACTTTGCAGCTGCCCAAATCACTTCTACAAGAAAGCCGGAAGCCTGCTGAGAAAAGGTAAACAAACTCCAGGCTGCATTATGCCACATACGGCAGCTACAGTAAAAGGTTTGAACAAAGTGGTGCAATCTGTGTTCCCTTGAGAAGTTTTATCCTCACTTCCTATTCTGTCTGACCCCCATCAACTGGAAAGAAAGTAAGGGGAAAATTACATAATAACATTTTCTCACTTCACTGAAAAACAGGTTCTGTTATTCTTGTCTGTACGGCTAAGGAATTTTCTGCCTACTTCCTGTTTTGTCTGGCACTGTACTGAGTAGACACATACATACAGAAAAACTTAACAGAGGATCTAACCCAACTCTATCCAAAGTGAAAAAAAATATCTAGAGTTGAGGTTTATGTATTTCTATCAGATAGAAATCTTACCAGAGTTTTCAGCCAGTCTGAACTTTCCACAGCAAAGATATCGTCTCCATTGCTTGCGAACATTTTCCTTTGCCACACAGTAGAATAAAAATATAAAGAAACCTGAGAAAGATATGTGATTAGAATTATTATTTGAGAAAAGACTTCTAGGAAATATAGTATCACCCTATGGTATGAATGAATAGGGATTATTAAAAAGGGGCTGCAATTTATTAGGAATCTAAAATAATAATTTAAAGTGGTGAGTATCAGTGATAGAAACTTACAGAGGAAGAAGACTATGGGGTCTATTCACAAAGCAGCCGAAGGATCTAGCCGTAGCTTCGGCCGATCCTTCGGTTAGCTTCGGCCCCAGGACCCCTTTGGTTCAGTAGAACCGAAGGGCTGCTGTACGGGCTATTCACAATAGCCCGTACAGCTCCCGAACTTAGCCGAGCAAATGCCTCGGGTTCGGCTGAGCCGCGCTGAAAGCCGAAGCTGGCCGAGCGGCCGGCCGACAGCATGCTTCTGACAGCTGGGTGGAGCCAGCCGTGATCTTACGGCTGGCTCCGGCCACTTGCAGAGAGATAGCTTTACTAAATCAAGCCCATAGTGTTAAAGGAAATATTCTCAAGACAAATGCATTTGATCAGTCCTATTCTAATAAATGGGAATATTAGTTTTATCTATTTATAGGCTAAATAACATAAGGCTAGGTATACTGTATACAAATAATGGACTCCCTAACCCATGAGCAGTACTTGGCCTGATTTTAAAAACATTTACAGGGTTATTCACAAAAGGGTGAAGAGGTTGGAGAAGGCAGGAGTAGTGAACAATCTAGGACAACATAGCTGATTTGGAAACATTCTCCAATTCAGCTCCCTTTCCAGTTCAGCTATGTTGTCCTAGATTGTTCAATTCTCCTGCCTTCTCCAAACTCTTCACCCTTTTGTGCATAACCCTGTTAGTCAATACTGATCTATTTTAAAATACTTGAAGTATACACAGTATACCTGAATTCTGTCTTTATATTATCTTTCTACAATTCCACCACAGCATAAATCAAATTATGCATATGATATTATGTGGACTGTGACCCAACAAGGTGTTATACTGAATGACACAATGCTGCCAGTCTTGCATATTTCCAAGCACTGGAGGCTGAAGAGTGGTGTCAAGGCAGCTTACAGAAGAAAAGCACTCAGAAAGAAAATCAGCAATAAGATAATGCCCTTTCATAGACCAATGCGTAAGCAGGTGACACCAGAAACTGCAAAGCTGAAATAGTGAATAGTGTTGTCACTATTCAGTCTTTGCAGTGGGCAGAGATACAGTATATGAATCACAAGACTGTCTTAGCAGAATTACACATACATTGGTTTGTAGAACAGTCCACATTTAGTTACATAGCCTAAAGACAGTTTTAACACTTGAAGAACAGTAGAAGAACAAACCTTGCAATGAGTTGAAGATGGCGAACAAGTACTGAATTACAGTTTTCCCTGGTCCGAAGGAAAAGAAGCCAAGGCCCCATGTAATGCCCAGAAGGAAGGTAATGCCAGCCACACTGCGGATATCCTGGAGGAAGGTTTTTCTCTGGTAGCCTAGCTGCTTCTGTTTTTTAATGCGACAGAGTTGTATAAGAACCACCACAAACATGCTGACATTGAGCAGGAATATTGTGCAAAAGTACCCAACCACTGTGATCCAGTATATAGTGGGTTTCATCCAGCAGCTGCAATAAGAGGAAACATGGCATTGTGCTGTTATTGTATAATGATAGAAAATTATCATTTCCTTTACAAAATGTTCAATAACGCTTTCTTCACACCTGAGCAATCAGAATACAGGTACCAGCCCCAGTGGTGAAACACTGAACCAAATATCTAACTAGCACACATGAATGTATTTCAGATAAGTCACCAACCATGTCACCCATATTATTTTCTGTAACTATTCAGATTATTGATAAATACTACAGTTACAGGCAGGGCCGGCCTTAGGCCTTTAGGCGCCCTGTGCGAGAAAGTTTTACAGCGCCCCTCAGTGGCCACACCCTTTAGTGGCCACACCCCCGTTACCACACCCATTTCCCCCAATATCCGCACCATTTAAAGACTCCTATTTTGTTAAGCCGCAAAGAAACATTAAAAAGTATGATAAAAATAAAACTTTTATTCAAAGGTATTAAACTTGTCGGCACAATAGAAGTATTCTTATCAAATAAAACAACAGAAGGTAAACAATAAATGTCAAACTGCAATAGAGTCTATAAAAATAAAGTGTCAGGATGTCATGCCGATCCCTTTTTTCAAGTAAGTGTATCTAGAAAAGTAAAAATAAAAAACAGAACACAGACCCCAGGCTACATGTAAATGAATGAATTACTATATCCCCGAATATAAAGGCCGGCCCTGGTTACAGGTAGTAAGCACAATATTTCCTGGCCTATGCACTGCCCTCAGTACATGATAAAGAGTTATAAGACCTGAAAAATAGTGCTTACTCAGTACTGTGGGATTTCCAGCCTGCTTGCCCTGAGTAAAGGGGTCTCTGATTCCATTTCACACAGGGAAAGCATTAGCTACATTATGGCGACATCTACTGGTTGGTTGGCTAGATGTTAAAGGAGAAGTATTGGGAGAGTAAAATGCACTCTTCCCACTACTTTGGCCCGGCATGTGGCCGGCATGTCTGCTGGTGTCCCATGCCAGCTCTATAGATCGAGAGTTGAGTGATCATGAACCACTGATCGCTCAGCTCACGGACTGCAGAGAGTGGTGATTGCCCGCAGGGATCCCCCCCTCTCTGCTCCGTCAGCTCTCATTGGAGGGACAGACGGGGGCGGGCACAGCTAGCTCTGGCTCTAGAGAGGCAGAGCCAGCTATCAATCAGACAGCAGGGTTGATCCAGACAATATTGTTGGGATCTTTACCAGCTGCAGCGCGGTTCTGCACTGTAACTTTGGGTCACAGGAGTACATTAGTTAATGTACTCTTTTGACCCATAAGAGGACTATAGCCAAAAAAAAAAAAGTTTGTCTTTAGTTCTCTTTTAATTACTTTATGGTTCTGTGCAACAATATACTTACATCCCAAGTACTGATGAGTCACTTATTTGATTCATGTCATTTTTTGTGTGTTGGTTTTAGTTTGAGCTATTGAGCTGAGTATACATCACTTTTTCAACAACACAGATAAGGATAGCCAGGAAAACGTGCAAATAGTCCAAGGCTATATTATTTCTGAATGTAAAAGATAGCATATTCATTTTTCTAATAATTATCTACCTGTATAGAAATATGACTTGGTCACAGACCCACCGAGAACACAATTCTACGTGTGAACAACTACAAGAATGTTTTTAGCAGGGAATTTGTCAATTTTTTAAAACTTGGATAGCTAGTATAGGCACCATATTTAAAACAAAATAATTTTCTGTACTTACAAATAATCTGCTGCCCCATTAGGATATGGTTCACTCATTTGAAGCTCATACAAATCTTTGTTAATGGCAAGGATTATTGCCACCACCACAGCAGGAGCTCCTGGTACAAACAGAAAATAGTAAGTGTAAGCATAAAATGCAAACTTGATATTCTTATATGCTTAAAAAAAACTCCATAGCGATTTCATATAATATGTCTGTGTGCGGGAGGAGGTGAGGGGTATGAAAGTTTTTGTCTTAAGATGTAAAAAACAAATATCACATGAGGTTTTGGGCATTCAAATTATTTTCTACTGGCACATTACTGCACAAAACAATGCACATAAGATTTTGTGCTTTGTAATGTGGCTTTCCCCTGCTGAGTTAGAGGCATAGCTTTCTAGTCACGGGGATTGCTGATTGTAGAGATATATATTTGACTCAGCATGAGGCATGTCACTCTGCAGAGACACCACTGCTTCCACAAAAAAGCAAGGGTTCTTCTCTGCAGCATGCTGGAAGGAGACAGGCATTTTTACAGTATGATTTTATGCATCTTTAGTTTTGATTCACATGAATTGTATTTAGCTGATTTGGTTCAGTTGGGTTTTAAATGAATAGGTTCCTTGGGAAAGGTCATTTCTTCTCACTTAAAGAAAACGTACTAACAGAAATGTGTAGACTGCCACTGCCACTTACAGCATTGAAGCCATTGGAACAGTATGACAGCCGGACAGCTAGCATTTTCAGAAGGAAACATAAATAGCTGTATAACCATTTTTCTCAGTAGAGGTTTACTTTTAAAGCTGAACTCTGGGCAAACAGCTAAATACACATGTAAAATACACACAATGGAGCTATTGTACCTGCCAAAGGATCTTTTTATTAATCAATCAAGTTTTGAGATTTACACTCCCCCTCCACTCCAGGGGTCTAAGGTCCCGTAAAGCCATCATGTCCTATATAGTTTATAGAACAGGAGGACACTGAGGGACATACCATTGATGGAGGAGAGAGGCTGAAAGGATTGGTCTAGGAGCCATCCGGGATCATAGTCCAGGTGAGTATAACTCTGTTACTTGAGTTCCCTAGACAAAACAAACACTTAACCCTTGCAGTGGTAGCCCCACTGCAAGGGTTAAGATTTGTTTTGCCCGGAGTTCTTCTGTCATAGTTTCCACTTCTGTACACAATAATGCAGAGTCTTAAAGGAGAACTATGAGGTGAGTGCTTTTCACTCACCTCATAGTTCTAGCCAACCTGTGACAATGAGACTGTCATAGGTCGGCTCAGTAGATCGGGAACTCTCTGCTGTGACAGGGGAGGGAATGGATTCCCCCCCTCCCCGCTCCGATCCTCCAGCCCTGACTGGGGGAACGGACAGGGGAGGGGGTGGGTACAGCTGACTCCGCCTCTAGATAGGCAGAGCCAGCTGTCACTCACGCAGCTGGGCGGATTCAGACATAATTGTCGGGATCCGCTTCAGCTGCGGTGTCTCAGAATGCCGCGAGCTGTAGCTTGCGGTATACTGAGCTTAGGGTGACGGGAGGACGCTAGTTTGTGTCCTCCCGTTCCCCTAAAGAGAACTGTGGGGAAAAGCCCCAGCCCCATAGTTCTCCTTTAAGCTGCCCATACACCTTACAACAATCGCACAACTTTCATAAAAATTTCGTACGACCTGCCCATCTTGGACAGGCAGATCGTACTTGCGATCATCGCAAGCCCTCCCCGCTGAGGGGAGGGCTTGCCGATGATTGCAATGCAGAGCGGGCAGTGTGCGCTTGCGCTCACCGGCCCGTGCGGCTTTTGTCTTCTGAGCATGCTACCAAACCGCTTAAACCCGCCGAAAAGCGTGCTCAGAAGAGGAAAGTTGTGCGACTTTCAGTAGATGCGGTCACACGCTGCCCGTACACCTGCCGATTATCGTATGATCACGGGCTTCAGCACTGCACACAAAATATCAGCACTCTGTTGGACTCAGAGTGGACCAAGCATTTTTCAGCCGTAGTTATATAGGAGCAGATTTTGAAAAAACACACTTCGATGTAACTTTTTTCACGTTTCATATAATGTATATTATACTGTCAGGATAGAAACTGTTATACAAGTTCACTGCAAGGCATGGAAAAAATGTGTCTTTCTATACTCTGCTTGTGAAGCTGAACCTCCACCTTAGTATATAAAGCAGATGAAGGCCTGCTGTTGTCCCATGTCTATATGGGCAACTTTCCCAATAGTATCTGTCATTTTTCCAGCCAATGGGAACAAATTTCCATTAACTAGAAATGAGAAAAAACTTGGTTGTCCTTCACTTTTTTGTGTTAGAGTGAGATGCAGGTCACATTTAACATAGTGGTAGCCCCACTGCAAGGGTTAAGATTTGTTTTGCCCGGAGTTCTTCTGTCATAGTTTCCACTTCTGTACACAATAATGCAGAGTCTTAAAGGAGAACTATGAGGTGAGTGCTTTTCACTCACCTCATAGTTCTAGCCAACCTGTGACAATGAGACTGTCATAGGTCGGCTCAGTAGATCGGGAACTCTCTGCTGTGACAGGGGAGGGAATGGATTCCCCCCCTCCCCGCTCCGATCCTCCAGCCCTGACTGGGGGAACGGACAGGGGAGGGGGTGGGTACAGCTGACTCCGCCTCTAGATAGGCAGAGCCAGCTGTCACTCACGCAGCTGGGCGGATTCAGACATAATTGTCGGGATCCGCTTCAGCTGCGGTGTCTCAGAATGCCGCGAGCTGTAGCTTGCGGTATACTGAGCTTAGGGTGACGGGAGGACGCTAGTTTGTGTCCTCCCGTTCCCCTAAAGAGAACTGTGGGGAAAAGCCCCAGCCCCATAGTTCTCCTTTAAGCTGCCCATACACCTTACAACAATCGCACAACTTTCATAAAAATTTCGTACGACCTGCCCATCTTGGACAGGCAGATCGTACTTGCGATCATCGCAAGCCCTCCCCGCTGAGGGGAGGGCTTGCCGATGATTGCAATGCAGAGCGGGCAGTGTGCGCTTGCGCTCACCGGCCCGTGCGGCTTTTGTCTTCTGAGCATGCTACCAAACCGCTTAAACCCGCCGAAAAGCGTGCTCAGAAGAGGAAAGTTGTGCGACTTTCAGTAGATGCGGTCACACGCTGCCCGTACACCTGCCGATTATCGTATGATCACGGGCTTCAGCACTGCACACAAAATATCAGCACTCTGTTGGACTCAGAGTGGACCAAGCATTTTTCAGCCGTAGTTATATAGGAGCAGATTTTGAAAAAACACACTTCGATGTAACTTTTTTCACGTTTCATATAATGTATATTATACTGTCAGGATAGAAACTGTTATACAAGTTCACTGCAAGGCATGGAAAAAATGTGTCTTTCTATACTCTGCTTGTGAAGCTGAACCTCCACCTTAGTATATAAAGCAGATGAAGGCCTGCTGTTGTCCCATGTCTATATGGGCAACTTTCCCAATAGTATCTGTCATTTTTCCAGCCAATGGGAACAAATTTCCATTAACTAGAAATGAGAAAAAACTTGGTTGTCCTTCACTTTTTTGTGTTAGAGTGAGATGCAGGTCACATTTAACATTTAAGTATTAGTCACAGGTACACAGAGATATTGATAACCCATAACATTTACCACTTTCAGTATTAGCTGGAAGATAGGTCAAGAATACAGATAGAAGATGCATACCTCCCGGACACACCGTTTATACAGTGGTCTCCCTAAAGCTGGCAAACCTGTTTTATATAATTTTGCAATTTTCCATGAAGGTAGATGATCATTCACCTGCATTTCTTTCTACGTAATAAGGGTCCTTTCACCACCCATGTAAGCATTCCAGGAGAAGGAAGTGGGCAACCCCGATTGCTATATTTCATCCCATTGGCCTAGGTAAATTTTTCATATTGTATGTGAAGACTTGCAAGGAAGCCCAATGCTGAATGCAATTGAATGTATTGTACCTTTGACACAGTTACCTATGTCTCTATTTAAAGCTTAAGTCTTAACCTTTGCAGTGGGGATACACCTGAACTGCAAGGTAAGAGCTAAAAAAAAGTTATACTCGCCTCTGATCCAGCTTGCTCTTAGACCGGTCCCTGTAGCCTCTCTCCCCCGTTGCTGCAGCAGTTTAAGGATCCTTGAGTCATCACATTCTATACACAGTGTATAGGACATGAGGATGCTCAGGAACAACCCATCACTGCAGCAGAGGAGGAGACAGACAAGGAAGCCCATTGCTGTATGCGATTGAATGTATTGTACCTCTGACACAGTTACCTATGTTTGTATTTAAAGCAGAACTTTGGGCAATTTTTTTCTAGTGTTAGTTTTTGTCTAAGTGATAAAAAAAGTTATACTTATCAGATCCTGGGAGCTGGCTCCCTCTCAGACTGGTCCCTGGAGTATCTCTCCCCCTCCGCTGCAGCAGTCTAAGGACCCTTGAGTCATCACAGTCTGTACACATATATGCATAGGATGTGAGGACGCTAAGGGACATACTATCACGGCAGCGGAGGAGAAGACAGGCTTCAGGGACCAAAGTAGCAGCCAGCCGGCTCTGCAGTTTGGGTGACTATAACTTTTTTTTTTTTTTTTTACTGCCTAGACAAAAACGAGCACTTAACCCTTGCAGTGTAAGGGGAGCACCACTGCAAGGGTTAAGAAAAAAATTGTCCGAAGTTATGCTTTAGCTCCTAACGTTAGAATGCTTAAAAAAGCTTATTGAAACAGGGAAAATACATACCCCAACCAATTATGCAGAACTTCAATATGTATTTCCGTACATAGGTGTTGAATACTTTTACTAGAGACAGGTACATGTGAAACGCTTCAAGACCCATCCAAGTAATGGAAACCAGGAGAAAGTAATGTAGAAATGCAGCCACAGAGATGCAGAGGCCGGGAATCTCACTGTACAGCGCAATCCAGGGATCCATCAAGAATGTCAGGTTCAAGCCAATGAGGGCAGCACATAGCTGAATGAGGATTTTAGATGGGTAATCTCTACGTATTTTCCTTGAGAAGAAATAAAAGATATGGTTAATGAGACATTTTCAGACACGGTTAACATGATATATCTAGCACAGACTGCCTGTTTTTTATAAGAAGGGGATTCACTTGTATATCATTTTGATCTTTACATTGGTTATGTATTTGATGGTTTAATTTTTCAGTAATCAGTAGTTAGGGCTCGATAGCACTGCAAATATATAGTTATTGGCTTTAATATTAGTGTTTCTTTCATGCATTTGCTGCAGCAGCTTATTCGGTAGGAATACATAGTGTTCACGGTTTGATCTACAGTTGTAAAGAGGGCAGACATCCCAACCTGCAAAACCTTATTTCAGGGAGGTTCCCGTGTCATTTCAGGGAGATGCCCTTTCTTTATTTTCTTTTTTTTTTACAGCGGCCGTCGTCAAAATATAAAATAAATGATAATGATAATTAACCCACTAATTTCTTACCGGAAAGGTTTATTCAGAGTAAACCTTTCGGAGAGAAAATGCATCTCTCGCGGACGTCAGGGAGCCGCTATCTAATAGAGGGAGACTCCCTGAATATCAGGGAGACTTGAGATCCCTGAGAGGGGAAACATTACAGTAAAATGTATAAGATGGGGAAGGGTTAGAAAATCTGATAGGATTTGATTGCTGTGTTTCCCTTGAGGAAATTTCCCCTCACCTTCCATGTGGTTCCTAAGACAGGAAAAAATGGATAATCTCTCTAATTTAGATTGTCTTTCTGCTTTTATTAGGATTGAAAGAGCCATTACTTACTCAAAGGCGATGTAAGTTACAAGAGTCACAGAAAGAAATATGGCAGAAAGGCCACAGCCAATGTATGTGATGAAAGTCATAATCAATTTGTCCTCTGGGCTTATTTGGTTATTAGGAGTCATGTCCTGAAATACATAAGCATACGTCACAATAAGGCAATAAATAAGCAAGTTTGCCCTTTGAGCCATTTGGGTTTTCCAAATGGAACTAGTGGAGGGCTGAGAAACAGGGTAATTCATCCAACATCATCAGAAAAGTAAGGTCATAACCACACCACCACAACCACAAAGACCTTGCAACCACAAAGACCTTTTCTGCATATCCCACTTCTCTCAAGCTGTGTTCACACTGCTCCCTGCCCTGTTCCTTAGGTATAGCTTGGGTAATGAAGGGAGATCACATAATCAGTGCTGTCAGGATTAGCTTTGCTATCCCCATTTGACAGATACAGAGCATTAATATAGAATAAAGCATTGATAACTGATTTGATTGTCACAGTAATGAGAGCAGGAAGGGCCCCACTTCAAACATACAGATCCCATAGAATTAATAAAAGGAACTGAGGAGCAATATATCACATAATCCTTACCAAGAGTATACCAAAGCTGGTTAGATGGTTGCATTTACAAACTGTCTGGTTATTATTATTATTTTGTGTTGCACTGTTCACTGTACAGCCCTCTGTTGACCAGCCACCATTACCACCTGTGAATAAAGATTTATTAATGCAAACATATAGATAGACCCTATTTTTGTTTCAGATAATCACTTCATGCATAACAAAGCAAACTGCTGCCTGGAAATAAAAAGGACACAGATGCCGTTGCCCATGCTTTCCATTCCTGTCCCCTGCATAACCATCTGCATAGTGATTAGTTTCCTGCAATTCTTTCTGTCAACTGTGTTAGTCTTAGTCTGCCATGCCATCCCCTCCTTTGTTGTTCCCAGTGTTTACATTCTTTCCAAATCATGGTGCCCTTGTTTGTAGAAAAGTAAAGTAAGGGGGGTTGTTGAGTGGTAAGTCCTAGACACAACCAAACACTGGTGAACGCCAATGCTGCTCATAAAGACCTAAAGGATGGCCTAGAATTATACCCTCATTTACCCATGTTTTGGCTTTTTTTTCTGTATTAGGTCTATGCATGTTTAGGTTACAGACCCCTGGCATAGTTGACAATAATCTCAGGCTCTCAACCTTACCTTAGTTTAGCTTTCCTCCTAAGTTGGTTTATGGCCCTGACCTAGCTCCAAACTATGAGATATGCCATGAACAAGAGTGCACTTCCTTTTGTGGCCGCATGTTTACCTTCACTTTGTGAACTCCATACATAGAAGATGTGGAGGATAAGGTACACCAATAATCAAATCACATCTACCAGCTCTTCATAAGACAGCAAACATTATTGAAGGCAAGATAGAAAACATGACAGGACAAATTAGGTAAGTCCTGGTAAGCAGACTTTCAGTACTGATTTACTTTGTGATGTCATGTGTAGTGCTTTTGACTTCAAATATAATTTAAACCGTTTGATGTGCTGGGTAGTAACCAGGACTGGACTACCTGTCTGTAATAAAATGAAACCGAGGAAGCCCACCCTGACCAGTTTAAAACAGCCTGCTGAATCTGAAATAGTTTGACAACTTACTGTTTTTGGTGAAGTCCCAGAACACACACTGTAGTACACCCTATGGAAACAAGAATGCAAATATTAATAAAAAGCAAATAGGAGGTTTTGGTAGCGTAAAACTGTTTTTATCCCTCAGTAATTGTAACACAATGTTTTAAATGCCTCACAGTGGTTCATACTTACTGATTCATTGTGGGGTGAAGTCTTCAGTGTCACTGTAACATTTTGCTTTAAATTAGTAACTGTGAGGTTTGCAACACTTGACGATATCACATTACTAACCAAGTACCGTTTTTCAGTGAGGGACGTGTCCTGGCCAAATAAAACACAAACTTGTGTAAGACATTAAAATCGTCCACAGGTACTGATTATGAAATCTGTTAGAATGGTTGCTTTATTGTGAAAAAATGTTTTGATGAATAGCCTCTATCAGGGCCTATCCTATCTATATGTAGGCACAGGATATACAGAGAATGCAAGACAATTATTTACATTTTAATAGGCTTTTGAATGGAGATATCCAGAAAAGTTGTTTTTTATGATTAGGTGGCAGTCCCTAATGCAGGGGTGCCCATTAGGTAGATGGTGATCTACCAGTAGCTCTCAAAGCTGATGCTGGTAGATCACGAAGGGTGTGAATGGTGGCCCCTTTATTCCATTTTGGTATATTTATTTAGTTGTGCACACATGATTACCTATTAGTCTGAGTCTGCTGAGCCAAGCTCCCTGACACCTTTCTGGTGGTTGAAGTGCTATGTATTACATCAAAGAATATTAGTTTGCACAGCCTGTTGCACTACACTGTTTGCAAAATACAGCAAGGTGAGCCAGGAGAGAGAGAGTGGGGAGAGACAGACAGGAGCAAGGGGAGACAGTCAGGAAAGAGAGAGGAGAGAGACAACCAGGAGAGAAAATGAGGAATGACAGCCAGGAGAGAGAGGAGAGACAGCCAGGAGGATGAGCAAGGAGAGAAAGCCAGGAGAGAGAGCAAGGACAGACAGCAAGGAGAGCGTGGAGAGACAGCCAGGAGAGCGCGGAGAGACAGCCAGGAGAGCAAGGGAGGTTTTTTGTTCGTTGTAGCTCATCATTTGAAAAGTAGATCTCAACACAAAAAATTGTGGGCACCCCTGCCCTGATGTGTTATGGAGGATTAAAGGTGGTCTTTCTTGTCTCAATTCTTTCTACGTTATAGAAATTAGAGTCACTTTAGTTTTTCTTTTAGTTTTTCTATTTAATTTGCAGCATACTTTATCAGAAAAGGAAGAAAAGTAAACAATATGCTTTCTATAAAGTCATGTCCTAATCTAGGTATAAGATTAAAGGTCTACAAGTCCAATACAGCAATAATTTTGACTGGTATCAGTGCCACTTCGATGTTATACTGAAGCTACAGGTGGAAAAAAATTTAAAGGGTTTATAAGACAAGTCTTACTTAGATTGAACTTTCAACAGGAGATCAGAACCACTGACAAATATTTTGACACAGTAGTCTTTCTGGCTAATGCATACTGTAAATTCCCAGACTGTCAGCTTAAAGTGACATAAACTGTGGAGTTAAAGGGGAACTATGGGGTAAGTGTTTTTTCCAATAGTTCTCCTAAGGGTCACGGGAGGACATAAACTAGCGTCCTCCCGTGACCCAAAGCTCAGTATATCTCAGTATGAGACCGCCGCAGCCGGGACGGATCCCGACATTACTGTTGAGATCCACCCAGCTGCATGATTGACAGCTGGCTCTGCCTATCTAGAAGCTAGTTTGCTATTGGTTATTGCAAATTGAAATAGCCAATAGGAATCTAGCAAGGCATTCCTATGGTGAATTTTGTTTTTGTTTTTTATTCTGATGCCAGCCAACGGCTCCGTGTCAGAATAAAAAAGAAAAAGCAGTGTCCAGTAGGCAAAAATACTGATGAAAATTGATTAAAATGCCTTTCTACTGGAATCTCTCTATTAGCAGAGAAAAAAAACTATAGAGGTCTATTCACTAAGATGCCGAAGGATCTAGCCGTAGCTTCGGCTGATCCTTCGGCTAGCTTCGGCCCCAAGACCAGTAGAACCGAAGGGCTGCTGTACGGGCTATTCACTATAGCCCGTACAGCTCCCGAAGTTGGCCAAGCGGCTCAGTCGAGCCAAAGGCATATGCCTCGGCTCGTCTGAGCCGAGGTGAAAGCCGAAGCTGGCCGAACGGCCGGCCAATGGCCGGCCGACAGCCTGCTTCTGACAGCTGGGCAGAGCCAGCCGTCTTCTCACGGCTGGCTTCGGCCACTTGCAGAGAGATCAGCATCCC